CTCTGCTTGGAATTCCTGCCCTTTGCTCCACTCTTTGTTTTTTGTGACCCTGGTCCTTTTGACAAGGTCTCCCTTATCCCTATAGTTGTACACGCCTTCTGTCCAGGGGTCTTCTCTGTATTCAATTCTGCCAGATGCAATGTGCATCTGCAGCTCCCTTTCCCCAAATTGTTCCAGCATCTGGATTTCACTTTTCCACTCTTCCCTTTTGTCAAGGGATATAGATTGGCCCAGTGACTCCTTCCATTGCATGAACTTTGGCACATTGGTCTTAAGCAGGTGCATGGCAACCTCCAAGCCCTTTTCTCCTTTTGACAAGGAGTCAAATTCCTTCTGTTCCTTTTTGCTTTTGCCTCTCATATGGGTGTTGTGCTTGGACCAGGCTCTGCTTTGCTCATGCCTTTCAATTCCTTTGCTGCTTCAGCTGGGTTCTCTGCATCTTCTGCTGCTTTGGCAACCTTTTCTGCCAAAGTCATTTTGCCTAGCTTGCCTAGCTTGGCTAGCTGTTTTTTCTTGAGGTTGTTCTTCTTCACTTGCTTTTTGTCTTTGCTACTGCCAGCCCCTCCTTTTGGCAAGGATTCATGTTGTTTTTTCTTTGGTGAGGCCAAGGCCTTCATGGCAAATTTCCCTTTTGCCAAGGGCTTTGCTTTCATGTTTTTTTTTGGCTTTTGGTGCCATTGATTTTTTTTGAGCTGTTGAGCCAAAACACTGCTGGAAACAAGGGCTGGTTCAGTCCCCACCCACTGGGTTGAGGTTTGGACCTAAACCCTTTTGGCTGGTTGTAAGCACCAAAAACAAACAAAATTTCATTGGATACGCATGAAATATTACATGAAACATTTTGGAACCAACCCCTTGCCAAAAGGGATTCAGTGAAGAGCCCTTACCAAACATGTGAATTGCAATTCCAAACCATGACAAATAACATTTTTAAAAGAAAATACAAACACAATGAACAAACAAAAAAAACAAAAATAAACAAAAAAACAAAAAAATCAAATTTGATCAAATTTGATCAAATGTATGCAGCTATCCTTTTGGCAAGGATTCAATCTTTGAGTGCCTGTTGGATCAGGAAGTCTTCCACAGCCTTCCACAGGCACCCATATTTTTTCTCTGACCAGGGGTGATTCTCCCACCTGGTCATGATTGGCCAGACTTCCATGCCCAGCAGCTGGCACTCTTGGAGGATGTATTGGTTGTCATCAAAGATGTGGCCAATCCCCATCTGCTGGCACCAGTACCCTTTGCCATGTGGGCCACAGCGGTTCCTGGTGAACTTCAGACCTGTGAAGTTGAACTGGACTTTTGTCAAGTCCTCTCTCACCTGTTTTTCCCTGCCCTGCATAGGACACCAGGAAAACCTGGTACCCATTGGCTGCCAGGCCATGCAGTGCAGCCACATTTTTTGGTGGCACATGCTCCTGGATCTCCAGGCATTGGTGGTAGTCAATTGCCACTCTGCTCTGCTTGTTGGCCTTGAGCACCCACTTGGGGCCTGTGGGCTCAGGCACTGGCTGTTCACTTTTGGCAAGTGTTATGCCTGATGTGGAGCTGGAAGGGGCCTCTTGGAGCCAGATCCCATGGCCTGTTTCCTGCCAGCTGTTGCCCCTTTTGTCAAGGGCTTTGTTTCTGCTGTCCTTCTTGGACACTTCCATCTTCACATCTTTTTGGCTGCTTTTCTTTTCTTCAGCATTTTTTTGATCACCCCTTTTGGCAAGGGATTTTTCATTCTTTCCAGCATCTTTTTGGTCACCATCCCTTTTGGCAAGGGATTCCTTCTTTTCCTCATTTTTCCCCACCTGCCAGGTGAGGGTTGTTAGATTTTATCTAAGTTGCCTGGTCCTCCTCCTCCTCCTCCTCCTGCCGCCTCCTCCTCCTCCTCCTCCCCTCCTCCTCCTCCTCTCATTGTCCTCCTCGTCCTCCTGCTCAACTGCGACTCGCGATCCACAGTGTTCGCTGCCGGACCTCAACCACGACCATCCACGCCCAGTGTTCCCTGCCGGACCTCAACCACGACCATCCACGCCCAGTGTTCCCTGCCGGACCTCAACCACGACCATCCACGCCCAGTGTTCCCTGCCGGACCTCAACCACGACCATCCACGCCCAGTGTTCCCTGCCGGACCTATAAAATGTCAGATAGAGTGCCAGAAGATTTGCCAGGTAGAATGCCAGAAAATATGCCAGAAGATATGCCAGATAGATATGCCAGAAGATATTCCAGAAGATATGCCAGATAGAATGCCAGATAGATAGAATGCCAGAAGATATATGCCAGAAGATATGCCAGATAGAATGCCAGATGCCAGAAGATATGCCAGATAGATGCCAGAAGATGTCAGATAGATGCCAGAAGATATGCCAGATAGAATGCCAGAAGATTTGCCAGATAGAATGCCAGAAGATATGCCAGATAGAATGCCAAATAGAATGTCAGAAGATATGTCAGATAGAATGCCAGAAGATGTGCCAGTAAGAACATGTATAAATGTCATGGTGGGGATCACACGAAGTAAAGTAATTTTTGTCATCATCGTGTTTTTTGTCATCATCCCTTTTGGCAAGGGATTTTTTCCCATCCTCTTCAACCTTGGGTTTTTTTGGCTGAGGTTTGGCAGCAACCCCCAAGCTGCTGCTGCTGGAGCTGGAGGTGCTTGTGCTGGTGCTGCTTTCCTTTTCAGCTGCCAGCTGTGCATTGGAGGGGCCCAGCTCCTTTTGGCAAGGAGTTGCTGTTTCTGCAGCTGGTGCTGCTGCAGCTGGTGCTGCTGCAGCTGGTGCTGCGTCCCTGGCTATGGCTTTAGCCCTGACCCTCTCCCTCCTGCTTTGGTGCACAGTCCCAACACCAGATGGCCTATTTTTGTTGTTCCTATACCAGCTCTGGCCATCCCATTTGTCCCAGTCTGCCATCCCCTTTGGGCAAGGGGTATTTCAACAACACCCCTAAGCTTTGAGTTTGGCGAATTGGTCCCTTTTGGCAAGGGATGGAAAAGCACAGTTTCCTTTTGACAAGGAGTCAAAACACAGTTTCCTAATGCTTGTGCCAAAAGCTGCAGTCATGCATGACACATTAAGATTTGAACCCCATATAGGAACATGTGGCTTCTATCCCATTAACAGCACAAAAAAACAAACAAACACTCTTTTAAAAACATTCCCCTTAAATCCTCAAACAAAAAACATTGAGGGGTTCTCACACACACCTGCCCACCCTTCCCATGCTACCAGGGGTGCATTATTTTGGCACACACTAGTGAGTCCAAGCTGTCAAACTCACCCCTTTTGGCAAGGGGTTTGTGCAACCCTTCAAAAACCTGTACAACCTCTTTTGCCAAGAGGAATATGCTGCATCTCTTTGCATGCCACTTTTGCCAAGAGGCCTGGTGCACTGGTTTACAACCTCTTTGGCACCCCTTTTGTCAAGAGGTCTTGCATGAAGCTCCTAGCCACTCTTTTGGCAAGAGGTCTTCACCAGGTGTCATAGCATTGCTGCCTCAGCTCAACTGCCTCCACTTTTGTCAAGTGGTCTTTCTCCAGCTTCTCCTTGATGTGCTCCAAAATTTCCAGGTACTTGGGGTGGTTCCTGTGGGTGGTTTCCACAATCAAGGAAAGCTTCCCCTTGCCACTTGTGTCTGTTGTGCCTGTGATGTATGCCCTAAATGGTTCCTTGCTGCTTTTGTGAAGCTCATTGGGCCCTTCCCTTTCAACAAGGGGTGAAGGCTCTTCCCTTTGGACAAGGGGTAAGGCAGAAACTTCCTCCAGGTCAGGCTTCTTCTCCATTAGTTCAACAACTTCATGGATTTGAAGGAGTTCCACAGTGGTAAGCTTGCTGGCACAAGCCCTGAGGTCACCTGAGAGCCTCAGTCTTCTCATGTGGAACAGCACCACATTCAGCCTTTCTACTCTTAAACTTACCCATGTCCCACCAGCCCACTTGCTATCATTGAGGCTAGGGTCTTCCATGAGGAGTTGGAAGATAGCCTGCCTCAGGTTTTTTGCCCATGGATTTCACCTGTTGCCTCCAGTTCCACAAGCCCTTTTATCAAGGGAATCACCTTGACCAGGGCCTTAGGGTTGCAGGCTTGGGTCTTGGAGATGGATTCATAAAGACCCATGTTGGCCAAGAGCCCTTTGTTTTGGCAAATGGACTTATATAGAAGGCCAGTATCAACCTGGGGTTTGGTGGTGTGCCTGGCTCCACCCCTGGTTGACATTGATCCCTTTTGGCAAGGGTTCAGAAACCCCAGCACAGCCAATGTCCTTTTGTCAAGGACTCAAATCTTAAAGCTTGATCCAAAAACTGCAGGTTGAAAATCAATAGGTTTTGCAAACCTGAAATCAATAGGTTTTGCAAAAAAAATCAACAAAGTCCTAAAAGGACGGGTCCCAAAAAATATTGAAAAAAATCAATATTTTTTTAGACCTTAAAAATCAACAAAAAAAGATACATTTCTGTTGATTAGAATCAATAACCGATGCTCAGGGTCTGAAAACGTCGCAAAAGTATTGCGCCTGCCACACAAAAAACGTTACAAAACACGTCTGAATGTCACGAAGTGCCACGTCTGCCACGCGAAACGAAGCAACGCAACATGTGAAACGTCCAAAAGTGACCCTTTTGCAGAACTTACCATAGGCACGGCCATACGGGGATCGTGCGGACGGTTGCGAACGGTTGCTGACGGTTGCGAACATAAACGCAACGTCGAGCGAACACACCCTCAACCCCCATACCCGTAGAGTGAAACGGGAACCCTTGCTACGCATCGGGAAAAAACAAGAAATTCCAAAAAACATCTACACCACATTTTATTTGGCAAAACATGTGTTTTCATGCGTTTTCCAGTGGCAAAGAAATATCGACCGTTGAAATATATTGAACATGGTAACATGGTGTTTTGCTGCCAGGTCAGCGCTGTACAGTCGCTTGCGGAACTGTCGGTAAAGAGTGTGACCCTGTTCAGCAGAATGGTCTCACAGATACAGAAATGGCAAATGTCATGAGCGATCAGGGCTTTCCCTGCGAAACCGCCCCGACCGGTCCGGCCGCGGACCCCAACCCAAGGTCGTCCGACAACAACCGGGCTCCATTTGTGGGCGACGTGACGACTCCCGCGGGTGGGCGCGCTTGTCGATTTTCCGGCACCGGAAATTCCGATTGCGGCTTGTTCTTAAATCCCAATCCCAATCCCAGCATCACCAATGCGAGGAGGTTGTGCTGCTGCGTGCCAGCGGGGCAGGTGGACAACGATCCCCACGTCCATACGCTGAAAGGCGCGCACTACACGCTCTTGAAGAGTGGCAACTTCTTGGCATGGAGTTTCTCCAAGGATCCAGTGGATTGGCACCTGTTGGCCGCATACTCCGGTGCTAGACTCTTGGCTGTTTTGGCCCGGCTATCTACGTGAGTCACTCCAAAAAGGCGAAAGATGTGCAAAACGGGCAGTTCGAATCAAACCCCTGTTCGAGACGCGTGCGCGCACACACACACGCACATCTTGTTAAATGCATCCTGGTAATGTATTTGTAGGAGTATGTGTATATGTGCAGGTGCATATGGTTCATATTGGTGTTAGTTTTCTTGTTTCAGTTGATGCAGATCCTAGGTTCGCGGTTCACCACTCAGTCGCTTTTGCTCCTGGAAAAGCAGAGTGCACAGACTTTGGAGATGACGGCGCGAGACTGTGTGTGGCAGACGAAAACGGAGAATGGATGGCGCAAAGTGCAGCCAGAGTTGCTGCTCCAGGGTGCTGCCATCTTGGATGCTTGGCAAAAACCGCAAAAACAATGTTTCACACATGCAGACATGGGAACCTTAACATGTTCTTTGAAGTTTCTTTTAAAGTTCCCCACGCAGCGTCTCCACACTGACGGGTTTTTTAGGTAAGGGTAAAGGCCGGTGCTTGATCAGGGTGCTGAATCTGGCTTCCAGCTTTTTTCCTGTAAATTCTGGCTCAAAATGGCTCTTGTGTTTTTGTCCATGTGCATTTCAACTGCGCAGGCTCGCGCAAAGTGTGTGTCGCGGTCTGGGGATCCATTTGGGGCGCGGCATTTTTCTTATAAATACTCGCATCAGATGGCCCTTGCGACGTGTCCATGTGCGTTTCGCAGGCTCGCGCGAAGTGTGGGTCGCGGTCTCGGGATCCATCTGGGGCGCAGCATTTTCCCAGTAATTTTTTCGCAAAATAAAATGGCTCCTCCTGTGACATGTCCATGTGCATTTCGACTGCGCAGGCTCGCACAAAGTGTGGGTCGCGGTCTCGGGATCCATCTTGGGCGCGGCATTTTCCCTGTAAATTCTTGTATAAGACTATAGGAGGTGCTTGCATGATCTTGTACAGGTCCTTGTGAGAAGATCTTGTGGAGATCCTGACGAAATCAGATGAAAATTTTCTAAGAGGTCCTTGCATGATCTTGTACAGCTCCTTGGAAGAAGTTGCAGCAGAGATCCTGGTGAAATCCTCTCAGAGGTCCTTGCATGATCACAGGTCCTTGTAAGAAGATCTTGTAGAGATCCTGATAAGTTCTCTTCAGAGGGTCCTTGCATGATCTTGCACAAGTCCTTGAGGAGATCTGGTAGAGATGGTGGTGAAATCCTCTAAGAGGTCCTTGCATGATCTTGTTAAGACACGACTCATGGAACATGATAGGGCATTATTTTGTAGAAACCAGCAGAGTGAATCTTGGTGAACGGTGCAGCACATGTCTTGACAACTTGCATCAATTGAGAAAAATTCTCCTGAATTCTGAGGTGAAGGAACGATACTGAAGATTGGCATGGCATGTGAATTTTGTGGAGTGGAACAGGCGCATGATCATGGTGACTTTGTCAGTGAAATTTTGGTTCGTAGCTGACGTCAAGAGTGACTCGGCAAAACACATGTCGCTGAGGACTCATGGTTTTGTTTGCGCAATCATGTTGAGGATCAGATCCTAAGTTGTGACATGTGTTGAACAAAGTCATCAATTTTTCTTTGTGCCTCAATTTTTCATTGGCCACAATTTTCGAGCCCATGCTGCCAGTGCAATTCCTTGGACCGCAAATTTGATTTCACCTTTTCCGGCTGCTCTGATTGTTCAACTTGAACTACATGGCCTTTTTCGAGCCCTGGCTTGTCAATACTATGGCGGGCCCCCCTGTCCAAAATCCCAATGAGTTAGATGATCAGATTGCTCAATCCAGGAGCCACAAGGCCCCACCAGCTGCTGCATTTAGTATGTGGTTTTCGCTGGGACAATGTGAAAGCAGGCACAATTCGCATCCTCACCAACCGAGGCTCGTTGCCAATTGGGCCTCATCAGAAATCTTACCTGGGTGTTGCGGGGGATTTTAAGGGTTTGAAGGCTGGCAAACGGCAGAACGCCCTAACAACAGAGGGCCATGGAGGCAAACGGCAGGCTTCAAGGCTCTAACAACAAATGCCTCTCGCCAGAGTGCCTGGTCGAAGCTGCCGCAGAGGATTTTAAGGGTTTGAAGGCTGGCAAACGGCAGGCTTGAACGCCCTAACAACAGAGGGCCATGGAGGCAAACGGCAGGCTTCAAGGCTCTAACAACAAATGCCTGTGGCCACAGTGCCTGGTCGAAGCTGCCGCGGGGGCAGGGTCAGTGATTCATAGCTGGTACTAGCCTTTTCATGGCAACCTAGTTACGTACTTTTTTCCTCCATACCTGGCAAATTCGTGGGGTTTGAATTGAAGTGAAACCCAAGGTTTGTGGATGAAAATCAGGGTTTGCCAAATCACCACATTTCACCCCGCAGCAAAGAAGGCTATGGAGGCAAACGGCAGGCTTCAAGGCTCTAACAACAAATGCCTGTCGCCAGAGTGCTTGGTCGAAGCTGCTGCGGGGGATTTTAACGGTTTGAAGCCTGGCAAACGGCAGCCCTAACAACAGAGGGCGATGGAGGCAAACGGCAGGAATCAAGGCTCTAACAACAAATGCCTTTCGCCAGAGTGCCTGGTCGAAGCTGCCGCGGGTAATTTTAAGGGTTTGAAGGCTGGCAAACGGCAGGCTTGAACGCCTTAGCAACAGAGGGCCATGGAGGCAAACGGCAGGCTTCAAGGCTCTATAGCAACCAGAGCTGCCGCGGGGGATTTTAAGGGCTTGAAGGCTGGCAAACGGCAGGCTTGAACGCCTTGGAGGCAAACGGCAGGCTTCAAGGCTCTAACAACGAATGCCTGTCGCCAGAGTGCCTGGTCGAAGCTGCCGGCAGACGGCAGGCTAGAACGCCCTAACAACAGAGGGCCATGGAGGCAAACGGCAGGCTTCAAGGCTCTATAACAACAAATGCCTGTCGCCAGAGTGCCTGGTCGAAGCTGCCGCGGGGGATTTTAAGGGTTTGAAGGCTGGCAAACGGCAGGCTTGAACGCCCTAACAACAGAGGGCCATGGAGGCAAACGGCAGGCTTCAAGGCTGTAACAACAAATGCCTGTCGCCAGAGTGCCTGGTCGAAGCTGTTGTGGGGGATTTTAAGGGTTTGAAGGCTGGCAAACGGCAAGCTTGAACGCCCTAACAACAGAGGGCCATGGAGGCAAACCTGTCGCCAGAGTGCCTGGTCGAAGCTGCCGCGGGGGATTTTAAGGGTTTGAAACTTGAAAGAAATGGAGGTTTCCTGTACCCATTCTTTCAGTTGTTTAGTATCCTTCCTTACGGGTCGACATGCTGCCACTCACTTGTTTGGCTCAAGATGGCGAAAACAGGTTGCCGCTGCTGCCCCTTGGTGTCACCGTCTTTGTTTGAATCCTCTGTTGTTTTTGGGGTGTTGTTACTCAAATCAGTTGGTTATCAGCCGTATTTACTCTTGTTTGACCGTTTTTGGGGATTTCATTTCATAGGCTGCCAGGTGCCTCAAACCTGGCACACATGTCGTTGCGTCAGCCGTGACCTGTGAATCTTTGTTGGTAAAAGGCTGGAACAGGAACCATGTCAGATCCAAACTCCTCATCCTTGAACCTGTCATCCGAGTCCATCGATGTTAAGGGAGGTGCAGTCACAGTTCATTCATCTCGAAGCCGAAGTTCATCCGGGACTCCAAAATCAGGAGGACGGTCGTCAAGAACAAAACAAGTTTCAACCGTGAATCAGCCTCGAAAAGTTTTTCAAGTTATCAAGCGCTTGCCAAAGCCATCAGAGCATGAGCGTGCCATGTCACCAGTTCCTCTTGTGCATAGTTCCGCATCGGCCTCCCAACCTTCGACCTTCATTCCCCAAGAGTCTAGTGGTCAGCCTGATGCCCGGATCCATCATTCACAGACGGTCCAGTATCATGATCACCGCACTCAGCAAGTGAATGTTGGTGTTGATCCCATGGATTTTGCCAACATGGTCTCCGAGGCCAAGAGCCTTGTTCAGGAATCTGATGAAAGAATCAAGGGGTTGGAAGGCTTAGCTCAAGATGTGTACAGCCAGGCTTGTTCACGTATTCAGGAGTTGCTTGGTGGTGTTGAGAGCCTTCAGCTATCAAACCAGGGATTTCAAAAGCAGATCCATCAATTAAATTCAGAAGTGGCCAATGTTCGCGCTCAGTTGGAGCTTCAAATTACTCGGAATCACGAATTGGGTAGCAGAGTTGAATGCTCCGCCAACATGTTAGACCACAAAGAGGGCGAAATTTCACGACTGATGGATGAAATCCACCAGCTGAAGGATTCGGTCGACTCCCAGCGTTTGGTTTTGGAAGAATCTCAAGCTCAGAACTTGTCCCTTTGTCAACGCTGTCAAGATATGGAGATGAGTTTGGCTGCAGGAAGCGCCGCTCAACCAGTTGATCAATTCACGTCTGATGCTCCACCTCCTCCGGCCTTTTCAGCGCAATTGCTATCCATGATGGAAGCTTTGCAAGATCTTTCGACTCGTATGTCAGCGGTTGAAGATGCTCAAGGGATTCATGTCGATCAAGTTCAGAGCCATAATAGCGCGGCAGTGTCTTTTCCGTTTCCGCCTTCTGGTCTTCCTCCAAGACCTCGTTCTTTTCCAGCACTTGCCGGATCAGGGGGGCCAGGGTTTCCATCAAATGATGGCGGAGATAATGATGGCGGAGATGGTTTTGACGATGAAGATGAAGAATTAGTTCGAGATCGCATGCCCCAAAGCTTTACCAGTCACAGGGATCTATAGTTGAGAGGGACATTGTGGATGCTCGTTCGCTTCGGTATGCCGCATTAGGTCCGGTTCCTTCCAGTGCTTCGGATTTCAGAGCTTGGAAAAACCAGTTGTTGCTGATCATGGCAAAGTTGGAGATCAGTGATAGGGATTACTTAGCGCATTGGCTTTCCAAAGCTTATGAAGTGAATTCCGATGAAGTAATCAAGCATGATTCTGTTTGTGTTCCGCGTTTAGATCGTTGGTTGGCAGCTGAAATTTCAAAAGGTTGTGAAAATGTGCCTGAGTTGCAGTTCAAGATCATGGGGTACATTGAAGGATGCACTCGAATTGGAAATCCGCCCGGGGGCAGATACTTGTTGCACATTGTTTCCAGGCATTTTGACATTGATCGCACTCGTGGCTCGTTGCTTACTTCGCAATCGATCTTTCAAATCGGGCTTGATGGTTGCAGTGCCAAGCATTTGCAAGAGTTTTCAGGTCGTGTCCTTCGCACTTTGAATAGTGTGCCGCAGGACTTGGCCATCTCAGCGCATGATGGGTGAGTGGTCGTTTCATCAGTTGAGGCAAGTTCGCAAGTTGGAAAGGACCATTGATGAGATCAAGAGAAGCGATGCTCAGTCGCCACTCCGTGATTTTGATCATCTTTGGAATAGGTTGCAGGAACACTTGCTTGAAGAAAGAGAGGACATCAATGCGCAATCAATTTGAAAACTTGTTGAAGTCCAGCTTGCCAAAGAAATTGCAGCCCGACAAGCCCACCAGTGCGCCTGCTGCCATCGCTCCGTCGTCTGAATCGAAGACCTCCCCAAAAGGTAAAGCCAAGGGAAAGGGAAAAGCAATGACCGCAGAGCAAAAGGCCAAAATAGCGTGCATCTTCCATGGGATGCCTACCGGATGCGTCCATGGAGAGAAATGCCAGTATCTCCATGAGCCTGCTCCCTCACCTTCCTAAGGATCAGGGGGGGTTCATCCATCCAATGGTCAGCAAATCCCACGAAGTTTGTGCTGTGCCGAGCTTAGTTGGATAGGAGTGTTGTGGTTTGCCGATTCTCCTGGCTGCTTTTGGATTTTCTCGTGGAAGGCGTTCAGCTTCTGTTTTTTCAGTGTCTTGTTTCTTTCAATTGCCGGTCGATCCAATGAAGTTTGTGCTGTGCCGGGCCTAGTTGGATTGGAGTTTTGTGCTTTGCCGATCCTCTTTGCCGCTTTTGGATTTTTACTTGTCTCGTTTGTCATCGTCTCATTTCAACATTTCGTCAAGGCCTCAGTGGTTGCATGGTCTTTAGACTTTATCTGCTAAGCAGCTTTCATCAAGTGCGTGCTTGTCGTTCTTCCGCTCTCGCACTCATCAGTTTCAGCGTTAAGTCAATCCTAAGGATTTCAATCTTCAAACTCGTTGATCCGATATTTAGGCTAAGCCTGTAAGGTTAAATCTGTCAATTTTGCAAGTGCAATGGGCTTGTGCTTTGCCATCCTCCATTGGACTTGAGCGCATGATGTGCTAAGCTGTCACTCGCCGTTAGTTCTCAACCTTTTGCCATTTGTCACCACCCGGGTGTGGCAAGTCGCTGTAAGCACAGCATGGATGCGACTAAGTCTTATCTGTGAACTTTTCATCCATTGGATTTTGGTGAGTCATTTCTTGTGGATATGTCATTGGACTCTCATTGTCTTATCTTCGAGTCTTGTATTCGTGCCTAATCGAGGTTGGCTGCGACAGCGCCGCTCCTGCATCCGTGCATCGGTAATTATACTTGCACGGCATCCGGTTGGATTTTGCCTTAATCCTTTTCCGGCACAATGGTGATTGGCTGCTCCGGCGCCGTGCCAACATTCTTTTGGACTTCATGCATCCGTAATTAGATTGGATTTCATGCATCCGTAATTAAGCACCCGTTAGGTGCACGGATAGAAATTGCCAGGCATGGAAGATTTCGTAGTGGAATCATCACATCTCTTGCCTGGAATCATCAACCGAGCCGTGAGACATAGTAATTAGGCATCCGTCCGTAGGCCTGATCAAACTCGGTAGTATGCTATTTCATGTTTGACCCTGTACAGTTCATGATAAGGGGGGGCTTGAAAGAAATGGAGGTTTCCTATACCCATTCTTTCAGTTGTTTAGTATCCTTCCTTACGGGTCAACATGTTGCCACTCACTTGTTTGGCTCAAGATGGCGAAAAAAGGTTGCCGCCGCTGCCCCTTGGTGTCACCGTCTTTGTTTGAATCCTCTGTTGTTTTTGGTGTGTTGTTATTCAAATCAATTTTGAAGGCTGGCAAACGGCAGGCTTGAATGCCCTAACAACAGAGGGCCATGGAGGCAAACGGCAGGCTTCAAGCCTCTAACAACACATGCCTGTCGCCAGAGTGTCTGGCGAAGCTGCCGCGGGAGATTTTAAGGGTTTGAAGGCTGGCAAACGGCAGGCTTGAACGCCCTAACAACAGAGGGCCATGGAGGCAAACGGCAGGCTTCAAGGCTCTAACAACACATGCCTGTCGCCAGAGTGCCTGGTCGAAGCTGCCGCGGGGGATTTTAAGGGTTTGAAGGCTGGCAAACGGCAGGCTTGAACGCCCTAACAACAGAGGGCCATGGAGGCAAACGGCATGGCTTCAAGGCTCTATAACAACAAATGCCTGTCCTGGTCGAAGCTGCCGCGGGGGTTTTAAGGGTTTGAAGGCTGGAAAACGGCAAGCTTGAACGCCCTAACAACAGAGGGCCATGGAGGCAAACGGCATGGCGTCAAGGCTCTAACAGCAAATGCCCGTCGCCAATTTCTTTGGTCGAAGCTGCCGCGGGCAAACGGCAGGCTTGAACGCCTTAAGAACAGAGGGCCATGGAGGCAAACGGCAGGCTTCCAGGCTCTATAACAACAAATGCCTGTGCCTGGTCGAAGCTGCCGCGGGGGATTTTAAGGGTTTGAAGGCTGGCAAACGGCAGGCTTGAACGCCTTAACAACAGAGGGCCATGGAGGCAAACGGCAGGCTTCAAGGCTCTAACAACAAATGCCTGTCGCCAGAGTGCCTGGTTGAAGCTGCTGCGGGGGATTTTGAGGGGACTGGAGGCAAACGGCAGGCTTCAAGGCTCTAACAACAAATGCCTGTCGCCAGAGGTCGAAGCTGCCGCGGGGGATTTTAAGGGTTTGAAGCCTGGCAAACGGCAGGCTTGAACGCCCTATAACAACAGAGGGCCATGGAGGCAAACGGCAGGCTTCAAGGCTCTAACAACACATGCCTGTCGCCAGAGTGCCTGGTCGAAGCTGCCGCGGGGGATTTTAAGGGTTTGAAGGCTGGCAAACGGCAGGCTTGAACGCCTTAGCAACAGAGGGCCATGGAGGCAAACGGCAGGCTTCATTTGATTCAAGGCTCTATAACAACAAATGCCTGTCCTGGTCGAAGCTGCCGCGGCGGATTTTAAAGGTTTGAAGGCTGGCAAACGGCAGGCTTGAACGCCTAACAACAGAGGGCCATGGAGGCAAACGGCAAGGCGTCAAGGCTCTATAACAACAAATGCCTGTCGCCAGAGTGAACGGCCATGGAGTAGGCTTGATGGCTGATGGCTCTAACAACAAATGCCTGTGGCCAGAGTGCCTGATCGAAGCTGCCGCGAGGATTTGAAGCCAACAAAATCAAGTTCCACACCTGCGGTGGTCCCAGGCGCCGCCCCTGCCTTGGCGAAGGCCGGGGACAGCGGATTTCATTTCAAGGGCCGACGCCCCAAAGAAGTAGTAGTAGTTCGGGGGGGCGGGGCGCGAACTACCACTATCCTGACCCGAAGTTGTAGTTGTTCCCCCTCCCACCCCCCCCAAAAAAGTAGTGAAGTTGTAGTTGTTTGGCGGGGGGCGGAGCCTACAGCACTGTACGGGAACTGTTGTTGCCAGTGCATTAATCTACGGGAAACTTTTTTGCTCCTAAATTAGTCTAGGGGAAGCTTTTTTGCAACTAAATTAGTGTACGGAAGCCTTTTTTGCCACTAAATTAGTCTACGGGAAGCTTTTCTGCCACTAATTGGTCTACGGGAGCTTTTTCTCTGACTAAATTAATCTACAGGAGCGTTTGTTGCCACTAAATGAGCCTACGGGTTTTTTTTGGTTCCTGAATTAGCTTAGGGGAGCATTCTTTGCGTGTGAGTTAGTCTACGAGGGCTTTCTTTGCCGCTAAATGAGTCTACGCGAAGCTTTTTTGCCGCTAAATTGCTTTACGGGAGCTTGTAAAGAGTCTACGGGAAGCTTTCTTGCTACTAAGCAACTAAATTAATTGAATTACCGGAGCTTTCTATGCACTTAAATTAGGCTAGGGGAGCCTTTTTTTGCCATTAACTGATTCTACGGGAAGCCTTTTGCCGCTAATTTAGGTTGTTGTTTCCACTAAAGTAATCTTCGGGAAACTTGTCTTGCCACTATAAATTAATCTACAGGAAGCTTTTTTGCCACTCAAGGAGTCTACGGGAGCCTTTTTTGCCGCTAAATTGTCTACGGCGAGTTTTCTTGCCCCTAAATTAGTCTACGGGAGCATTTGCTGCCACTCAATGAGTTCTCGGGAGCTTTTTTTGCCATTAAATAATAGCGGCTTCCAGTGCTAACCAGGTCTCTTCCAAAAGCTAAGTGGGTCTTGGCTCATCATGGTTCATCTTAACTTGGCTCATCATGGTTCATCTTATTTCATCTTAGAATAAGTTCGGTCCCAGAGATATTTTAGCTTAAAAAGGGTTTTGGTGAACCCATGGCGGCCTCTGACTCTGAAATCGTTGATTTGGTGGGGTCAATGAGCAGCAGTGATGATGAGGACAGACTATGTTATTCTATGTTCTATGATACCCCATTGGAATCTACAACCCCTTATCCCCCTTGGCCCATGCGGTTGATTTCCAGGATACAGCTGAAGGCTTGCCCCGATCTATCACCAACCACCTTGAAGTTGGGGAGCTGTTCCTTCAACTCTCAGGTGTGGCACTTCATGGTTCCCTTAAGAGGGCTCAATCAAATGTCAGGTTTGGCAGCATGGTTTGCCTCCTGGCCGGGCCAGCTTTTTACTTACGCCAGTGACTGCACCCAAACTGCATTAGAACTTTCAGTACTTGGCTGAGCAGACTGAACAAACAACTTAAGGTAGCGGTGCTGACACACCACTTTGGGGTCTTGCCATGCTCTTGGAAGCTTGTGGAAAGCTTTGGGCCCTCGACCACTTGTCTGGTTCTCAATCGTTTGGAGTCATTATCCAGAGATAGCAGAATACCCCAAAAAAGATCAGTAGATCCCCAAAACACTTCTTGAGGACTTCCAGTGAGCTTGACGACAACAAGTTCGAGCTGCTTTCCAAGAACTTTCCGCACTGCCGGTGGTTGCTGGCCTCTAACTGGATAAACTGTATGTGGGGCTGCGCCTAGACAAACTGTGACCTTCTTATTTCCTGGATTCCTGCCGGAAACGCAAAGGTTTAGACGAGACGTGACCAAAGAGCGAATGGGCAAGGACCTGCTGAATAAGGCTGGTCCAATTAATAAGGTTGAAACATGTTGAGATATAAAATGGGAATAATCAGCGCAAAAAATATTCATGGTTGTGGCCGTTGATATTTCGACATGATTGGTTGCAATAGCTCTGAAATAGCTCTGAAATAGCTCTGAAATCTGGGCAGGTGATGGTCTACACGGCTGGGTTTCCGTGTCAACCCTATTCAATGTTGAGCTCTACAAGGAGGATGCTGGGGGATGCCAACGCTTCCCAACTTTGGGCAGTGTTGGCCAACATCCGGGATACAAGGCCAATGGTTTCTAATCTGCAGGTCATGTGAAATGCATTTAATTCACTATGATGTTTCTTATCCCAGGGTTATTTGACATATCTTGTGGGCTGCTACTAAGATTGGCCTACTTGAGAACGTATTGGGATTCAGATCCGTGTTGAACACGGTCCTGGCGGTTATCCAGCGAAACATCCCCGGGTCCCTTTACTGAACTGGTCACTGAAATCTTGTCATAGGATTGCAACATGAATCATCTTTCAACTACTACTCTGAGGTATGCCGTTGCGTGCGTGATTATGGACCCGTATCCAATTTGCACATATACCAAAAATGTTCACCTGCTTGTTTTGGGTTGTCCGTAATATACAATGTATATGTTCCAAGCTGCTGGTGCCCAGGATTCATTTCCAGACCCCAACTTCGCGGAGAAGGCTGTACATCTACTTAGTCCGTAAGGACGTGATGACGGCTGAAGCTCTTTCTGGGGATTTTACTTCTTTTTTGAAAACAAAGCAGACCAACATCCTTGGTGGATTTCGGGACTCAGTGGTGAAAATCGATTGGATTCTCAACTGAATGGCCTCCACATGTTCCAGTTGGTTCCAGTTAGACATAGCCCCAACATGCCCCAACCTGTGCCAGTTAGTTCCAGTTAGACATCAGCAATCTAAGTAGACCAACGCGCGTCGCGAGGAAAGACTTGCTTCTACCAGTCAATTACCGTGCTGTTGCTACAGATGTGGAGGCTCGAATCGAAACCCGGAAACGAAATGCCTGCAAGTTACTTGGTTACCTGTGGTTCATTCAAATAGGGTGAACAATGCTGACTTCACAGTTGACAGGGTACTGTTTGTAACTTTGTCAAAGTTGGGATTACCTAGGCCCTCGTTCGTAGCAAGAAGTGTGTAAAGCAACATGCTGAATGGGCGAAAACTTTCAAGGCAGGGGGGACCATTTTCATCTTTTTCACTTAGTGAATTGCTGCTTATACACTGCTTGGTCAATATTGATCCCTATCGCCGAATTCGAAGGTGAACCTGAAGAAGTCTGCAAAGTTCTTCCAGCGAAGTCAACCACATGCTGCCAAAATGATCACTGTTCCCGGAAAGATGAATGCTTTGGACCTGTTGTCCTACTACCATGACAACAAGTTGGCTTGCTTGAATGTTTCCCAGAGCCTACACGGCATGCCCATTCTTACGTCCCACCAAGATCCTCTCCCATGTCTTACGTGTGGGCCCAAATCATTTTTTTGATGTTCAAAGGAATACAGTTTTTCAGAGTCATATACTCAGATGTTCTCTTCCCTGGGCTCTATTAATAACGTCCTTTTCCTGCTTAGGCCCCATGGCAAATTCCTGGTGCTATCCGAGAACAAGGAGGAGTCCCGCTTTCTGATTGGGAGGGAGTTGCTCATATTGATGGGGCTGCCTATCCATCGAATGGCTGGCATTGATCAGACTGCTGAGCAAGTGTCTTAACCGAACAATATCAATTAAAAGGAGTGGAGTCAAAATGCACATGGGCCTACATACTGCATCATGGGTCAAAGCTAAATACCCAGGTATTGCACTCTATTGGCGGCAACGCCATGAGCCTACGACCTGCGCTCGGTGCCCTCTGTGTCGCCATGAGCTGTGTTGATCCACAAAAATTTGTGGTGAGTCCAATTAGTGGACCCAAAAAGGTGCTGCAAATTCAATACTGGAAAAACTTTGTTCGGCTGACTTGCAGATAGGGAATCATCCATTAGATTTACCAGCTGAGATGCCTGCATAAAACTTATTTTAGGACACATAGTCCACATGGGCAGTATCATACACTGATGAGTAGGCATATTAAGTAATCATATGTAGGCAAAGAAGGAAAGGTTACTGCGCACACTGCTGTTTTTTGATTGGGGGTTCCAATAGATTGACCGTCCCATATGGTGGCTTCAATATTAAACTCACAGTCTGGCAGAATCCTTCACAAACTTGACTTTGTGAAGGCAGAATTCTTCACAAACTTGACTTTGTGAAGGCAAAATCCTTCACAAACTTGACTTTGTGAAGGCAGAATCCTTCACAAACTGGACTTTGTGAAGGCAGAATTCTTCACAAACTTGACTTTGTGAAGGCAGAATCCTTCACAAACTTGACTTTGTGAAGGCAGAATTCTTCACAAACTGGTGAAGGCAGAATTTGTTTGAAGGCAGAATCCTTCACAAACTTGACTTTGCACAGAACTTGACTTTGTGAAGGCAAAATCCTTCACAAACTGAATTCTTCACAAACTTGACTTTGTGAAGGCAGAATTCTTCACAAACTTGACTTTGTGAAGGCAGAATCCTTCACAAACTGGGTGACTTTGTGAAGCCAGAATCCTGCACAAAACTTGACTTCTTCACAAAGGGACTTTGTGAAGGCAGATCCTTCACAAAATTGGACTTTGTGTGAAGGCAGAAATTCCTTCACAACAAACCTTGACTTTGTGAAGGCAGAATCCTTCACAAACTTGACTTTGTGAAGCCAGAATCCTGCACAAACTTGACTTCTTCACAAACTGGACTTTGTGAAGGCAGGATCCTTCACAAACTTGACTTTGTGAAGGCAGAATCCTTCACAAACTTGACTTTGTGAAGCCAGAATCCTTCACAAACTTGACTTTGTGAGGGCAGAATTCTTCACAAACTTGACTTTGTGAAGGCAGAATCCTTCACAAACTTGACTTTTTGAAGGCAGGATTCTTCACAAACTGGACTTTGTGAAGGCAGAATCCTTCACAAACTTGACTTTGTGAAGGCCGAATCCTTCACAAACTTGACTTTGTGAAGGCAGGACCCTTCACAAACTTGACTTTGTGAAGGCAGAATCCTTCACAAACTTGACTTTGTGAAGGCAGAATCCTTCACAAACTGGACTTTGTGAAGGCAGAATCCTTCACACACTTGACTTTGTGAAGGCAGAATCCTTCACAAACTTGACTTTGTGAAGGCAGAATCCTTCACAAACTTGACTTTGTGAAGGCAAATTCCTTCACAAACTTGACTTTGTGAAGGCAGAACCCTTCACAAACTGGACTTTGTGGAGGCAGAATCCTTCACAAACTTGACTTTGTGAAGGCAGAATCCTTCACAAACTTGACTTTGTGAAGGCAGAATCCTTCACAGCCTTCACAAACTGGACTTTGTGAAGGCAGAATCCTTCACAAACTTGACTTTGTGAAGGCAGGATTCTTCACAAACTTGACTTTGTGAAGGCAAAATCCTTCACAAACTTGACTTTGTGAAGGCAGAATTCTTCACAAACTTGACTTTGTGAAGGCAGAATTCTTCACAAACTGGACTTTTGTGAAGGCAGAATCCTTCACAAACTGGACTTTGTGAAGGCAGAATCCTTCACAAACTTGACTTTTTGAAGGCAGGATTCTTCACAAACTGGACTTTGTGAAGGCAGAATCCTTCACAAACTTGGCTTTGTGAAGGCAGAATCCTTCACAAACTTGACTTTGTGAAGGCAGAATCCTTCACAGCCTTCACAAACTGGACTTTGTGAAGGCAGAATCCTTCACAAACTTGACTTTGTGAAGGCAAAACCCTTCACAAACTTGACTTTGTGAAGGCAGAATCCTTCACAAACTTGACTCTGTGAAGGCAGAATCCTTCACAAACTTGACTTTGTGAAGGCAGAATCCTTCACAAACTTGACTTTGTGAAGGCAGAATCCTTCACAAACTTGGCTTTGTGAAGGCAGAATCCTTCACAAACTTGACTTTGTGAAGGCAGAATCCTTCACAAACTGGACTTTGTGACAGGCAGAATTCTTCACAAACTTGACTTTGTGAAGGCAGAATTCTTCACAAACTTGACTTTGTGAAGGCAAAATTCTTCACAAACTGGACTTTGTGAAGGCAGAATCCTTCACAAACTTGGCTTTGTGAAGGCAGAATCCTTCACAAACTTGACTTTGTGAAGGCAGAATCCTTCACAAACTTGACTTTGTGAAGGCAGGACCCTTCGCAAACTTGACTTTGTGAAGGCAAAATCCTTCACAAACTTGACTTTGTGAAGGCAAAATCCTTCACAAACTGGACTTTGTGAAGGCAGAATCCTTCACAAACTGCACTTTGTGAAGGCAGAATCCTGCACAAACTTGACTTTGTGAAGGCAGAATTCTTCACAAACTTGACTTTGTGAAGGCAGAATTCTTCACAAACTTGACTTTGTGAAGGCAGAATCCTTCACAAACTGGACTTTGTGAAGGCAAAATCCTTCACAAACTTGACTTTGTGAAGGCAGGATCCTTCACAAACTTGACTTTGTGAAGGCAGAATCCTTCACAAACTTGGCTTTGTGAAGGCAGAATTCTTCACAAACTTGACTTTGTGAAGGCAGAGTACTTCACAAAGTGCACTTTGTGAAGGCAGAATCCTTCACAAACTGTACTTTGTGAAGGCAGGATCCTCCACAAACTTGACTTTGTGAAGGCAGAATCCTTCACAAACTTGACTTTGTGAAGGCAAAATCCTTCACAAACTGGACTTTGTGAAGCCAGAATCCTTCACAAACTGGACTTTGTGAAGGCAGAATCCTTCACAAACTTGACTTTATGAAGGCAGAATCCTTCACAAACTTGACTTTGTGGAGGCAGAACCCTTCACAAACTTGACTTTGTGAAGGCAGAATCCTTCACAAACTTGACTTTGTGAAGGCAGAATCCTTCACAAACTGGACTTTGTGAAGGCAAAATCCTTCACAAACTGGACTTTGTGAAGGGAGAATCCTTCACAAACTTGACTTTGTGAAGGCAGACTCCTTCACAAACTGGACTTTGTGAAGGCAGAATCCTTCACAAACTGCACTTTGTGAAGGCAGAACTTGACTTTGTGAAGGGAGAATTCTTCACACACTTGACTTTGTGAAGGCAGAATTCTTCACAAACTTGATCCTGTGAAGGCACAAACTTGACTTTGTGAAGGCAGAATTCTTCACAAACTGGACTTTGTGAAGGCAGAATTCTTCACAAAGTGCACTTTGTGAAGGCAGAGTCCTTCACAAACTGGACTTTGTGAAGGCAGGATCCTTCACAAACTTGACTTTGTGAAGGCAGGATCCTTCGCAAACTTGACTTTGTGAAGGCAAAATCCTTCACAAACTGGACTTTGTGAAGCCAGAATCCTTCACAAACTGGACTTTGTGAAGGCAGAATTCTTCACAAACTGGACTTTGCGAAGGCAGAATCCTTCACAAACTTGGCTTTGTGAAGGCAAAACCCTTCACAAACTTGACTTTGTGAAGGCAGAATCCTTCACAAACTTGACTCTGTGAAGGCAGAATTCTTCACAAACTGGACTTTGTGAAGGCAGAATCCTTCACACACTTGACTTTGTGAAGGCAGAATTCTTCACAAACTGGACTTTGTGAAGGCAGAATCCTTCACAAACTGGACTTTGTGAGGGCAAAATCCTTCACAAACTTGACTTTGTGAAGGCAGAATTCTTCACAAACTTGACTTTGTGAAGGCAGAATTCTTCACAAACTTGACTTTGTGAAGGCAGAATCCTTCACAGCCTTCACAAACTGGACTTTGTGAAGGCAGAATCCTTCACAAACTTGACTTTGTGAAGGCAGGACCCTTCACAAACTTGACTTTGTGAAGGCAAAATCCTTCACAAACTTGACTTTGTGAAG